CCAAATAAAGGCATTAGTGAAATCAAATCGTCGGATGATTGCATGAAAAATTGCTGGGAGGTTGAATTTATCAAATTCAACCGTTCATGAGCATTGGAAACGATTTGGTTCCGTTTCAAAGCTCGATATTTGGGTTTCACACGTTCTCAAAGAAAGAGATTTAATTCGCAGCATTACCATCTACGATATACTGTTGAAACATAAAGAAAACGATCTATTTTTGAAGCGAATCATAACTGGTGATGAAAAATAGATTCTATGCAACAATGTTAAACGCAACCGATCATGGAGCAGACATGATGAATCAGCTCAAAGCACATCGAAAGCTGATAATACCCATCGCCCATACCAAGAAGGCGATCGTCTCTGTTTAGTGGGATTGGAAAGGGATTGCTTTTTTTTTGAGCTCCTACCAAAAAGAAGGCGATCGTCTCTGTTTAGTGGGATTGGAAAGGGATTGCTTTTTTTTTGAGCTCCTACCAAACAACCAAACAATTAAGTCGAATGTGTGCTGCCATCAATTGGACAAACTGAATGATTCCATCAGGCAAAAGAGGCCAGAATTGGTAAACAGAAAAGGCGTAGTGTTTCCTCACGACAACGATAGACCTCACACAAGTTTGGTGACTCGCCAGAAGCTGTTACAGCTCGGATGGGATGTGCTACCGCATCCAACATATTCACCATTATCATTTGTTTCGGTCCCTGCAATATTCTTTGACTGGCAAATCTTTTCATTCAAATGATGGTGTGAAAAACTACTTAATTCAGTTTTTTTGCCAATAAGGACAAGAAGTTTTACGAGTGCGGAATCACTTCATTACCTGAAAAGTGATAAAAGGTATTGAAACAAAATGGTCAATATACAGGGTGGTCCACCCTGTATAATTGAATAAAACTGTTTCTTTCTATAAAAAAAAATCATCTTTCATTTTCATACAAAAAACGAAATTACGTTCTGAACAACCCAACAGATGTAGTTAAAACAACAGTGTCTAATCACTTATAGGAAATTAACTAATAAAACAAGTTTAAATTTAATGTGCAAAAACCGCAGTTTCTTTCTGAGCAACTTAATAATTGGCGGGACTCGAGTTGCTGATCACTGGGATAAACGATTGTGAAGCCATCGATTCTCTATCACCTTGAGTCACTTGGCCTTCCAATGGTTTGAACATTTTGAACCCTACCTACAGTCTCAACACGCCTGGTCACGTCCAAATTATGTTTAGATTGTTCCAACTTCTCGTGCTCATAGAAGTCTAAATACATTTGAACCTGTTTGGACGTGGAGTCAATTCCCACCCAGGAACTGTACAGCTACACCTCTACGCTAAGATAGTCGTCATCCTGGACCATAGCCACCGTCTCCTACGACAGGTTACCCCTTTCCCATCAAGTTAAAGAAAAATACCATTATTTCTGCTCTATTGACGCCCGGACAAATGGATGAAAGCGAAACGGAGAGACACTTCTTTCCCTGCCGCACAGCTTCCGGAAATTTATATTGCAATTAGGAGCAGGTATTTGATATAACACGACGATAGCGTTCCACTTCCCTCATTCCTTTAATGAAATAGCGTTTTCAATGAACGACCGGTCAACGAGACAGAAGTTATGCCAATATTTTTCGACTTCGCGTTTTTTCCCTCCCCGCAGCGTCCCTGCCGAAGCTAAATCGACGACTTTCGGGAAGTTTTTTGCGCGTGGAAATGGGGACGCTTATATTGTGAAACTGAAACGAATGGCGTTGGTCGCAACTATTACATACTTGTACTATTCAGTTTTCATTTAACGTTATTGTACAGGGTGGTTTTAAATAAGGGTGCAAGACTTGTGGAGTGAAAATGAGGAAAAATATGTGGTGAATTTGGTGGTCCAGAAATTAACTTTCGCAATTACCATGACCATAGCCAGAAGAGGGTAGGAAGGGGTAGGACTGTTCCTGGGTTGTTGGCCGCGCAGGTGCAAAAACAGTATCAACGCCCTTATTAATCTAATGTTATTCAATTAAGAATTTGGTATGCAGTATTTACTTTATATATATATGATAAATAGCGACTATTAATATATATAATTATATATAATTATATAATATAAATATATATAATATATATAATTATATATATTAATAGTCGCTATTTATCATAATTCATTTTTTAAGTATCTTTGTTTCATTTTATAAAAATAAAAATTAAAAAATATTCTTTATTTTCATGCAGTGAAACAAAGATCCTTAAAAAATGAATGGTTTTCTTTAAAATGAACACTTTATTCCACATATAAATACGAAACTAATGCATAATGTTTGTAATAATGATGTTATGGATGATAAATAGCGACTATTAATTACCTACAGGAACTTAATCCACTAAATATGGTTAAATATCATATGCTATTTTAGGCTGTCCATCTTTATGGAGTATGGTAATAGTTCCTCCTAGTATAGGAGTACTGTTACAAAGATTACACATGCAATTAATTTGATTAAATTCTGTCGGTCTAAAATGTTCATAAGCATCGGAAAACTTTTGATTGTTATTCTTACTAGTCCAATTTTGACATGTAATAAACCATCTACGGCCACCCCTTTGGCCACCCTGGTGCGGGGATACCTTTTGAACCTCTCCTTGGGGAAAAACGTGCCCTTTGCCCTACTCTACAAGAAGATTGTATTTTTCCTCATCCCCAAAAGAAGAAGAATATTACAGAATGTACATATACTAAAATTTTGTATGTAAAAATAAGTCTAAAATTCATTTAAAGTAATATTATGAAATTTGTCTCAAGATAAATTTTGCCCCCATTCCGGACTGATAACCTGGCTACGTCCATGTCAGTTACTGTAGTTTACAGATCAACGCGACTTTATGAGTTGCTTCCAATAGCGAAATAGTCAGCAGATACTTCATTTCAGTTTCATGGGAAGCATTTGCAAACCGTATACCGAGAATCCAGAATTGGATATCATCGTTCATCGTTCACCGAGGTCACCAAACAATTCCGGTATACTTCCGACGAGTGAACTCGTTACATCGAAAAGTAACGCGGCTGACGGCGACGGATCGTTTAGCCGAAATAACGGGCACGGTGGATGCTGACTAAGCCACTCCGACACGCAAATCGATGCACGCTGGTTTTTCGTGTGACCATCGGTCAAACGTTCGATGGAGGTGGCTTTAGTGACTGTAGATACTTTAGTACTTGTAAATTAACTTGCCATTGGCAAAAGTGTGGGAAATCGTTTTTGGCCCCTCCAACAGAAATCATGTAAAGTACATTATAATATGAATTTTTTTTTCACTAAATAATTATGTTTCTGCTTGCTCATGATTTGCTATCACTGCTTAACAAAATTAACTCTTTCGCTGCGGCTGATTTCAACTTAAACCGTCTGTGACAGACGGCACATATCTGACCGTGATCGAAGTCAAGAAGAGCGAAACCTTTCGTCCGTGATAACGGTTGTCGACAATTTCAAGCTACACGGAGATCAATAACTTTGTAGCAGTCGTTGTTGAGAACACAGCACAGTCGTTTGTAGAATGCTTATAGACGACAAAAGTATACATACTCTGAACGAAATTTTAAAGTGGCTGTAAAAACGAAAGGGTTAATATCTATCAATAGCATTGAAAGGATTAATATCGCGGATTCGTTGAAAGATAGTGTAATTGTGAAAGGTGTCACTATGTGATTGTAAATTATTTGCAATAACTTGGTAACAAACCTAAACTTCAATAAATGTAACAAATGCAATGTATGTGTATGTGCGCTCAGTTATGTTTCATCTGACTGCTGAATGTGCTCTGTCTGATGTTTATTTGTGTGGTGGTGGACATAAAGAATTGAATGGAACTTTCGAATAAGCAGATTTTGGGAAAAAGCGGGTTTTAAGTTACACAGTATTCGGTAACTTGTGATGAATTCTTCCTATGCCTTAAACCCTTGTTCCATTGAAACAACCAACACAACAGCTAGAGGCCGTAACATTTTAACCCCCCCCCCCCTGCTTCTATACTGTGCTTTAGACCCTTTCTTCCATAAGTTTCAAACACCTGACGTGCTTCTTGTGTTCAACATTATATAGCCTTCTGACGGAATAGCTGTAATCTCTGTGTACTAACAGGGACTGTAAAACCATACTTTACTGTTAATTCACATTGATTCAAATATGCTATAGACCTCTATTCGATATTTCCATTAAATTTTCGTTGGTGTATGTTGTGTGGGTGCGGTAGTATGAGGTATAAGAAACGAGGCTTGGCGCATGTATTGTCTTCTGGGAGTCTTACAACTCAGCGCTGGTTTTGAACAAACAACTATTTTGAGGACAGTGAATACTTTTCAACTGATGTGCAGAAATCTCCGTTTATGACGGTTTGCCGTATATTGTAGCGATCGTTCCCTACATGTGTTAGGTCCCAACAAATCGAAAAGTACAGATATTAAATTGAAAGTTCTTAGAACCATAAAACAATAACTCTCGAGAAGCTCCGACACGCTCTACAATTCTCAATGTCCACCGCAGACGTTTTCACGAAAGAAGCTCCCTCACAGAGCGGTACCCGATTCAATTTTACACCGGAACTTCGTCGATCACCGCAAAGTAATTTCTGTGCAACTGAACCGTACGTCGTCGATATACGGAGAGAAGCCTGTATATCGATGAGTGTTATCGATGGTACACGTCGCGGCCCCTCGTCCAATCTCCGTTCGCGAAACGTTGTTTAAATACAACTCTCTCGGCTAAAAGTTTCCAATTTGTCGGCGAGGGCGATGGGGCGGTTGCTAGGCCACGTAAATCCAGCTTTTCCCGACGCCATGGACCCAAGTCGATTTCGAATCAAGAGGAGAATAGGTAGTTCGTTGGTTGCGGTCAAGCAGCGCGTCGGTCCGTTAATAAGTTATAGGGGGACGAAGTTTTCGCGATGAAAACTGTAAAGCCAGCCAGACCACCCACCCCCCATTGAGCAGATTACAGCTTAGAGCGTACTTACAGAGGTCTATGGCGCGAGTGGTGCCGGCCAGAGCGAGAAAAATCGAAAGACGGACGGCAGGTATCGCTCCCCCGGCGAAGAAACCGAAGCTTTCCGCCATGGCTGCTGCCGGCTCGCGCGAGGGCTTCACCCTCGCCCTTTTCTCACCGTGACTCCGCTCGTGTCATTTCTGCCTCGTCAACCTGAAACAAAAAAAAAACGAGACGCGACCGTTATATTACACTACAGCCGCTAACGATAGTCAAGGGGGAGAATGAACGGAGGAGACGGAGGGGGCGCGTTCGAGAGGGAACTCGCGCTCTCGTTTCGTCGAATGTTTCCGTCGAAGCCCCCTCCTGTTCAAGCGGGAGGATACAAGGGCTCCAACATGATCAACGATTTCGGTGAAATCAAGATGATAGGTCGTATTGTTGGCAGTGCAATTGTGGTATAAATTCCACTTGCGTAGAGTTGAAGTTTGTTTTCGTCGAAAGCAGTTGGCAAGTAATATTTTTTTGAATTCAAGAAGAATCTTTTTAAATTTAAGTATTATGTCCTTTAAATTCGAGTAATATGTTTTCTAAATTAAAATAATAGTTTTTTTAATACCTGGATCCCAGAGCCAGAGTATATTATGTCACTCTTTTTAAACTTTTGAGGAGAGCAAATCAAAAGTGCGGAAACCTTGTAATTTTTTAACCATTCGGTAAGAATTGAACGAAAAACTAATCGCTATTTTCGAACTATTGAATGAATTTAAGACAAATTCTCTGTAAGATAAATATCCCAGTGGTTGGATGTTTAAGACGAAGATTGCGGTTACGAAGACTTTTTATGTATTAAAATAATATAGATTTGCAAAAAAGTACATTTAATTGAGAGAGAAGAACTTCTTCCAGACAAGTCGTTATGTATAAGAAAGCTTTCACGTGAGTAAAAGTATTAAAATTGATGTATATCTAAAAGTGTTCATTTGGCCGAGTGATTGGATGGAATTTACGGTATGGCAGAGTGATTAAATTTAGCTGTCCCAGTGTTTGGACATAACATTCAATAAATTATTCATAGCTGGTTTTTAATAGTAAAACATGATATTTTTCTTTTATATTGTAAAAATTCAAATAAACCCGTAAAAAATTTAATTTAATGCAATAAATAAAATAATAAAAATGATGAACTAAATCTATAAATGTATACATTATAAATTAATAAATAAATAACACTAAGGAAAAATTGCATTCTAATATTATGTATATGTCATATATTTGGTAAAAGCTTCTAAACATTTATCTTTATACATTTAGGAAATTGTGCATTACAAACAAACATAGTTGATTTAACTTTGGTTTGTTATAAACGTTTTATAGAAAATACATATTTTAAATAAAACAAAATTAACAAAATGGAAATAATTCCTTTTTTTGTTTTTGATTTTTTTAACACTTTCTGCAAGTTTTTTGGCAGCAAATTTTTGTGTTTTTATCTTCTAATTTTTCTTTTTTAATACGCTTCTTTAATTCTTCTCCTTGAAAATCTTATTGTTATAAAAGTTTCCGAAACGAAAGAAATAAAATAAAGAGGTGATTTTTAATGAATATTCAGTACGCGAATCGCTTAGGTTATGGGTGTGTGAAAATAATGATATTTATCTATGAAATATATTAAAAAAACTATGAGCTTCCAAAATTAAATATTGTTATTAATATAAAAAATACAAAAACACCTACTGTAATATAACGAAAATACTTTTGTATGTCATACACTGACTCTCTGCTCGATGCTGCTCGAGTGACTGGACAAGCGTCCAATGACTATGCAATCAGCATTCTCATGTACTAGTGAATAAACTGTGTTCATCTGGAAATGGAATTCGATCGAATACAGTTACGACAATGTATTATTTTTGTATTGCAACGTGGAACATTTGCTGTACCATAGCACAGAATTTTTAAAATATGTGTAAAACAAATTCAAGTAGCATCATTCGAGGCAAACGTCTTTCAAACGAGGAATAATTTACAATCGACCTGGACTTGTAACACGCGGATTGTAAAATTAAAATGGGTGGTTTAACGTTGCAGGCAACTTCGCCGACCTCCCGAGGAGAGGTAACACCGTGTACACTATGCGGGCGTTTGCATTTAATTTACAAAGTTATTCGATTTAAGTTGAATGAAAAATTGAAAGAAAATAAAGTTCCGGGGGGAAAATTTAAATTTCTCCCTGTATTAATCCGTCGCCTCCTTGAAAAGGACAATCGTGCGCAGGCGCTACAGGGTGAGGCTTCGCGTAGTTCAGTAAAGTAATTCCAGGCAAGACTCTCGAGTGCATCGCAATCGAGGAACTTTAATCCTTTGTTTCATTCAATTTCGACGAATTTATATCCCGTGTCATACGCAATTGCGCGGGCGAATGGAAACAGAACGCGCCGTTCGTTGTCGATAAAAAAGGGGTCAGTCGACACATACACACGCACACACACTAAAAAAAAAGCGATGGAATAACCGGGATCAATTCGAAAAACCACGGATTTAAAAAGCTCCCCGAAGGCTCTCCCGCGGCCGTTCCGTCTATGTCAGCCGATTTATTTTTATTTCCCACCAGATAGTGTGTCGTTAAAACGAATACATAGATTCATTTTTTCTAATTTTCCACTGCCGCGATTCTGATAGATCGATGGTGCGTCGTACACGTAAATGTCCATTGATACTGATACATATAGGATGTCTCCAGCTTACTATCGTAGGATTAGTAATGGACTATGAAGCATATGAGAAACATTGCTGACATACCGGGTGAGATATCTAAAACAGGCCACCTGAATATCTTGGCTGTTACTGATGATAGACAAAAAATGTGTCAGATCGAACTTGCATGGTATCGAGAAACACACAATTTGATATAAATAATTTTTTGATAGGTGGACGCGTAGAGGTTATATGAAGGTCAACTTCGTTTTTTAAAATGGAAAGACATGTTGTTTTACGTACCATCTAGTAGAGCGTTTTAAGAAGTGTACAGTGACCTATAAATATGTGAAGGTACATAAAAAACATGTCTATAACAAAACTATTTACATCAAATTATGTGCTCATCGATATCATGCAAATTTGGTCTGACATTTTTTTCTATCGCCAGTAACAGCTGAGATATTCAGGTGGCCTGTTTTAGGTGCCTCACACTGTATGTCAATATAGAACACTTCTCGTAACTAATAAACAGACTGCGGATTTTATGCATTTATAGCCTATAGGGCTATGTGAAATACAACGTTGGACAAAACTTTCATCAGATGCATCGAGTTTTCTATTTCCTTCTGAATCCAATAAGATACTTAAGGAAAGGAAGAAATTCCTAATTCTGTGTTTGTCTTTATGAATAACTATAAAATGTGATTTGGATACAAATTCGCAGTCTACTATTAAAATATATAGACATTCTGAAAGTTGATACTTCAACACGACGTTCAAAAAAGAAACCATCACGATTACGTTAAATTTTTTTGTATTGACCTTGTTTTGAGAGCAAGTAACCAGATGATGTATGTATCTGTAGTCTGTTTCACGAAAGAAGATGCCTGGGAAGTAGCTCCGACTTTTCGCGGTGTTGTCGCGATTTCGAGACATCTACGGCACTTGTGTCTCTCTCTCTCTTCGCGTCTTGGCCAATGATATTCGACCGTCGACGTGCGTCCTCGTCTACGGTCGTCTGTCTCCATCGCACGTATTACAAACCTCTCGAGAAGGACCTACCTACACTCTCAAATAATGGGGACTGCGTTCGGCACGCGCCCGTCAATCATCCACTGTCTGGAAATAGCGGAAAATGTTGACGAGACGCTGAACGTTTTCACACGTCAAGAGTTGAAATAAATGAATAAAAAAAAGTTTATTTCTTTTGAAAGAATGTATTGTACCCAAATATTGAGCAACATATTAAAAGGGGATTAAATTAATACGTAGGTTATTAAACGCTACACGTGGAAATCGCAGGGTAAAGAAGGAAGTTGGTTTACCGAGCGTCTGAGCGAGAGGCTCTCGTGCCGAAGTGCCGTAGGATGGAAAGAGACACACAGTGGCATTGAGACCGTGACAACGTCGCACGAAATACGCAACTCGCGTTGGATCCCCACTAGTGATGGGTAATCGATACGGCTCGAGCCGAGCCGAGCTTAAGAGGGGGTAGCTCGGCTCGGCTGGAGCCGTATCGATACCGGTTGACATCATCGTTCCATCCTAAGAAACGCTGGCGACGGGCCTCGGCGAGGCGAGATGTTATTATAAGATAACTCTACGCGCCGAGGCTTCGTGTGCCAGAGCCTCGTGTCTCCGCTGTCACCTTATAAAACTGTCATTTCGGCCTGCTTGACCAGCCGAGCCGAGCCGGTGAATCGAAAGCTTCCGATACAGCTCGAGCTGCTCGGCTCTACTACTCATCACTAATCCCCACCAGACCACGCGCCGAGGCAGGCCTACTTCCCACGCATCTTCTTTCGTGAAACAGACCATACTTTCGAGCAATTATGCTTTTATATTTCCAAAAAGGGAGAAACGTGATACAAACAACAAAAATGATTTTCTATAGATGTTGATGGTGCAGTAAACGAACGGAAATAAGAAAGAGAATAATTCCTCGGAAGTACATCTTCTCGTCATTCATTTTCAAAACAAGGTCAACTCAAGAAAATTTAACACAATCATAACGATTTTCCTTTCGAACGACTCGCTGAAATGTCAACTTTCAGAATACGTATATAATTTATTGAAATAGAAACAGCAGAAATTTGAGATTACTTTTTGGTCAACCCAATATTAACCTTAACTTTTACCCATCCCTCATTTTCTCTACGTAATTTGTCCCTCGGCGTCAAATGGACACAGTGATAAAAAAAACTAATACAATGGAGATGCACGGTTAAATTTACAAATTGTTTAAAATAAAAGTCACAAAGCCTCGGCAAAATGTACCTACACATGACAGAATAACAATCATTCCTTCAGAAAGAAATATGTCAAATTGACACAATGGAGGACAGACGAGTGGTAAGGTATGCGGGTGTAAGTTTCAAACTTCCAGGAAGTTATAAGTTAATACACGTTCACCAGATTCACGAAGAAACATGCGATCCCCGTGTCT